CCCATAACATAGAAGGACGAAGTTTGATCCAATTGACTTTTCCGACCAAGCATTGAACGCGGGCCTATTGTCCAAATGAAAAACATTGAGCAGAGCTTTTTCCCAAGGATAGTTTGAAATGAGGTAAAATTCCTCAGTTTTTCCAACCAAGTAGGTGAGTTGATCTCAAGGCTTTACATGACACTTGACGTTTATCTTAAAGAAATTCTAATTCCCATCTATAAGCTGGGTTACCTAAAATCATCAAGCTTATTTTTATCCAGTGAGGTGCGTGGCATGCAAGTAGAGAAAACTATTATAGCTACAGGCTGTATTTTGTTCGTTTAACTTTTTAATGTAGATTATATATAAGCCATATGTGCATCTCTGACATCTGCCGTCAGTAGATATGAACTCTTGTGGATTGGAATGGCATGGATAAGTGGGACTGTTTATCATTAAAACTTTGTCGGACATTGTGACGCCTTTCATGAGCTGAAATTGAGATTTTGGAGGGCTAAAACTGTATTTTCAAATTAGCCCGCTCGCATACTTGCGTGATTGTTCAGACTCTTTCATGGCTAATTTTTTTAGGTCTTAATTTTTTCAACGTCCTTCAAAGTAATGATAATAGTGACAAAATTTATGTTCTTAGGCAAAGAAACGTTTCGGGCTCTTCTCAGACTTACTTTAAACCTCGCCTAGCAGCTCGGGCTAAAATGACTCTTAGTCGTGTCTAAAACATATCTAAACCCGCGCACAAAAACTGTATTATTTTGATGTCCAGCTTGGACTTTCTTGATTTTTCGCCGAAAGTTGCTTATTCTTGGAATGTGTTTATGCAATTCTTATATATTCATCTTCTGTCTGAGGTTGGAGAAGCACTACTTTAAGACTGCAGTCTGCTCTAAAGAATTTTGCTAATTCACACAAATCCGTTTGGTTTGATGACCTGATCACCTAAATTTCTGTCTATTTTCGGATAAAGCTTGAAACCACTTTGATACACTCTTGTTAATGCTTGGAAACCTAACTTCTGATCGGATATGGTCAATGATCCTTCTCCGTCGAACCCATAGACCACAAGATATATAGCTTTGTAGGGAGCTCTCCATAAGTTATTATTATCTTCTATACTGCAAATTCTGCGTTATTGAAATAGCTGATCAATTAGGTATCTTTTTGTTAGTTTTATAAACAAAAGTAACTAATCAACCACTGTAAATAGAATGCTTCTAGATGCTTCGAGTGCAGAACAATATGTGGCGACGTGATATAGCAATCAACAAACTTGCACCAAATATTTTCAATAACCTTCGATAATTTCAACGGCTGTCCCTCTCATTTCCACTCTTTAGTCATCTGAAATACCACTTATTTGTCATGTTTACACAAGGAATTAATTAACTAACTGTTACGTCTTCCAGTACATAAGTTCACGCACTCCATCGGAAACCATGTTGCGCTAACTTCACGATAAGTGCGCAACTTGGATTCTTAATACTCAAAGAATATCTCAACAACTACATTGTATTTTTAGAATTTTGATAAGCACCGGACATCTATGACAGTCACCAGGCAACATACTTGATTTATTATTAATTTCAACTCCCATTACGTGAAAGGACCCCTGATCTGTGATGGTCACCAAGCAACATACTTGATATATTACTTCGCCTCTCCTTGAGCGGAACTCCGCTTAGTGCCTATACAATATGGCTATCGTAAACCAGCGTAGGTGCATTGCTTCAACATCTGTCGCTCCATCTCCATGTATTGCCTTCGTGTGGGGGACGCAAATGTGCTAAAATAATGTAAAACTGCTGCTAGTAGTATTCATCAGTCGGTTAGACCTCCACTAGAATAATGTTTTTGATTGGACTTATCGCCCAGAAATATTCAGAGAAAGTGAACTTGTGAGATGCTGATGTTAAGGACTCTTATGAACCTTTGTACAATGCAATTACTGACGATAAAAAGTTCGTTAATTGAAATTAGTCCAGTCCAATGATATCTAATTGTAAAGCATGACTAGATCTTGTTGGAGGTCATCGCTTTCAGTATAAGTTACAAAGGATTGCATATTTCGAACTTTCAGCGGGAAAAAGTGTAAATCTCGATTCAAACTTAGAATTCCTGATAGTGATTCAACCTTTGTGACAAGAAACAAAGGCTCTTTTAGATTTTTGTTTCGAGATTTTGCAGATTTATCCATTACCATAAAAATCAGAACCAAACTACAATGAAAAGTTCAAAACAGGCTATAAAAAATCCGAAGTTATGTGTCTGTGTCGTTTTGACACTACGCACTGCAGCATTTCACTTGATGCTCACACAACCTTTGGACTACAAAGTAAGATTTTGAACCCGTCCAAGACTCGCTTTTTGCTGGAGCTTTCTTTGTTGTTCGTCCTATCAACTGATCAACTAACTGTTAGCAAAAGTACTTTTAAGTTAAAAGGTTCTTTTGTAGTTGTCAACCGCCGTCAGTGAAATCACACCGCGCTTTTATATGATTCACTTAACGCCAGCCTCAGTTTGGACCATCAATTGAGTCGGTGCTTCAGTTCTCAACATTATGTGCCAAAGAGCATCACCTGTTGTAGTTTCTGTACCATTGTCATGAACTCGGTCATCATTGATAACGCATTAATTGCCTTTTTTAATGCAAACTAGCGCTAGTTTGAAAATTCGGTCCCAATATCAATGATGCCGCCGTCATCGAAGGCATCGTTGATTTAGTAAGAAGAGAAAAGGTTAAAGTGATCTTGCCAAGCTCTCCTGACAAAAAGACAGACTGAGGTATTTTGATTTCTTTCTCTAAGTGACGGTAGCATTGATGTTGCAGAGTACCCGAAGGGGCTTCAAATATCATATATCCCAAAACAAATTATTAAATCCTGTCATGACAAACAAATGGATCAAGTAATGACTTAGAAAAACTCAAGCAGAAATTGAAAAATCAATCCGCCTGGCATTTTGATTTAATTGCTCCAGGTTGAATGACAATCTTAAGTTTATTACATCCGTCAATAACTTGGGAGAAATACTATATCCTTTCCAAAGTGGCGAAGGAGATTTTTAAAAAAGTAAATATATCCAGGAACTACAAATCCCTTCAAAAGAAATCAAATTATGCGAAAGATTTACAGGCACTGAAAATTTCAAGTAAATAACTCTAACTAAAAGAGAAATGACAGTCTTAGTCGTCTTTATTTACAGACACTTGTGCGATTAAACATTGGCACATGTCTCTTTATCAATATTTCTTTCCTCTTTTGCCAAGCATAAAATTACATTTGCATTACTGGCCAGCAACATCTGGCCGGCACACTCCTTGAACTCTTGCATGCGAGATCACCAATGAAAGAGATGTATAATTTTTACGTGCTGCTGTAATTTTCCTGTGTATTATGGGATTTCCATTCGGAGAATGGTCCGAAAAGGAGACCAAAATCGAAGAAAAGCAGGAAATCCAGTATATCATTATCTCCTCTAAGCTTACAAAAGAACACTGGATGTAAGGAGATAAGCGAGTACTTTATAGATGGTACAGATATCCTAAGGAAATTTGAAAAACAGCAGGATTATTGAATTCTTTTCGAGTTTTTCCCGACCAAAAAGAGACAAAAATCACGAATGGACACTCAGCTGTTTTTACTTGGATTCAGTATAAAATCGGGTATGAAAAAATAATAAAAGTAGAACAATTTCTCGCATTCAATATCGTAAATAGACTAAATATCTTAGTTAAATAGGGTTTCTACATCGGATGTGATAAAGTAAGATAATTGTTTTGTGTTTGAAATTTATTTTTGAAAAAATCGAAGTCAGTAATAACTCTGCATTAATGCTTTGGTTAAATAGCCGAGGAAAAGATGTCACCGCTCTTTGAACGAAGTATTTCACGTGAAAGTTCATTTTACCAAACACTAAATTTAAAATAACTGTGTCCTTCTTTGATGAAATAGAACGATCAAGTCTTAAAAGATGGTAGCGATTCGACAAACAGAGTAAAAAAAATGTATAATACCTTAAAATTCATCCATTCAAGAGAAAATTTAGTAGTGCTGTTTCTAACTTATACGCCATGCACACCAAAGCTTTATTCATATTTTTAAGCTGTTTTGTTCAACACGGTTTAAATGTGTCCTTTTCACATAGAAGCTCCTTAAACTTATGCTTTTGGACTTCGGATTTAGTACATTGAAAACACAAGCTATCCACTGGTGACCGATTGCATTTGAAAGCTATGGCAACTTCAGGTTTTCTTTCAGTTCTCTGTCTCTGATTTTCGTTTAGCAAAGCCCGATTTAACTAAATATGTTTTGCTAGTGTGAAAGATGGTTGTAAGCTGCATGCAAACGAAAAATTTGAAACTTGCTAACTATGGCCGCGGTGTTTGTGAGACTCGCTCAGTTGTTGCTTTGGTTGAATTTCTTTAAAGATTAGCGGGATAACTGTTGAGGAAAAAAAAAACCACAGTCTTTTGTTTGAAAAATGATGGTCTTCTGATAGCGGTCGATGAAGAATTCAAATGCAAATTGATTCCCACAACATCTTTATAATCAGTTGATAAGAATCATCATGTCTATATTGCCGAAAGTTTCTCAAAAATATATATATAAATCAAGTTATCGATAAGCGAACTCTGTTACGATTGCGTGTGGAAGAAATCAGTTCCAATAAATTCAAATGTAAGTAGTTTTGCTTCATCCAATTTGAAATAATTTAATTTGTTTATATTGCGCTCTACAATTGAAGCTTACTGAACTCTGAAAACGTCCATTTCAGCATCAGTGAATGCAGGGAAGAGTTTTTTTTATTATTCTCATTAGGGGAGAATGAGTGACAAGAGCATCGTATATGGAGTTTTCTTAGCTTTTTTCTCTTCTGAAGGGCCCACGTCTTGGTTGAAGAGAGTTCTTTATCCGCTTCAGCCTGAAATAAAGTGTTCATTGGTGAAAAACGTGACCCAAAGCGCATTGTTTAGATTTCCGCACGTGACACTGCAATAATTTAAGAGTGCTTTGGGAAATGTTTGTTCCTTTGGAGATATCCTTCTTGGCACCGAAGTGGTTTTCTATTACACATTTCCTTAATCGTGGGAAGATTTTGTTTGTTGAACTGGCAGTATCGGAAACATCTCAGTGACCTTACGTTTCTCAGCTAGAAACCATCCGATTTCTAGGACCAAAACATGCAAAGAGGCATTGTTCGCGGTTGACGGCAAACCACTCAAGAATTAATTTGGTAAATATTATCGCGAAGACAGTTTGATAAGATTGCATAAGCTATTCCATTAGTTTGTCAAAGTGATCATGAGTAAGATATTAACTAAATCGGCTATTTTTTTTCCTTCCTGGGGATTGTTTTGATCAGTCAGCCAAAGTCTGCGTCAAAGGTAGGAAGTTATGAAGTTTTGATGAACATCTGTTTCATTCACGAAGAAATTGTATCAAAGAAAGAAGCTATAACAGCCCGGGTTTTGGATGAAACCTGATTTGAATAACGCTCTACACGGATTACTCGGTATTAACGGACAAACGACTGATGTCGGCTTCGTTTTCAGTTGGCACTTATCTTGGTCACGCCTACATGACCTTATAATAATTAAATTATAACTTTCGACGAAGGGGTAATCCTACAGCTGATCCTAGATTTAGTTTATAACCTCTGTTGTTCTCTCATTTTTCGATGAACAACCTTAAACGAAACATAACAGAAAGCCATCAGGGTATCCGACGCAATATATGGTATTTGACAGGAGTGTTTCCGATCGATTATTTTCCTTGAATTTGTAATTTGCCAGCTAGGTGAATGATTTTACTAAATTTATGGAGAAAGTGTCGAGTTGGCGATAAAGCTCAGTTCGTGAAGGCAGAGATTTCTTCAGTGGTAATGTACGTAGTTTTCGTATGTCTTCGATTATTTGTGCACTAGGAGTAACAGATGCAAAGTCCAAAGTACTTTTCCCAACGTTTACAATAGACACTTTTTGTTATTATTTGGGATAATTTTGTATTGTCTCGTCTTTTCATCTGGTGCCATTAATTGTTATTTGTAATCTCGAACCTTCAATTCGTCAAGATTCAAGGCAAATGATACTAGAGGCATCTTTCTATCGACGATGCCTGAAGCTCTGCTGACCAACATCAAAGCCACGATAGCTGTATGCAACTAAGTGAAATCTTTTGAGACTTTGTTTATCAAAACTGAGTTCGAAATATTTTGTCAATGGTGTACAACATTTTGGCGATGTGTTTGTAAAACGCACAACTGGATAGGGCCATTTTTGGAACAAAGCGAAGATAAACGACAGAGTGACCCGAAGGGCAACCCATATTTTCACTCATGGTAAAACCGATTTAACGTAAAGGAAGCGATTTATGTTAATTCCCAGTGGTTCTTAAAGCGTTTTTCAGCAAAACATTTTCCGTTGACACCTTTCATTGACCTTGTTCACCAACAGAAAGTTGATGATGGAGTTTGTTTAGAAAGCAGACTGAATGTGAACGAGAACAGGAGCCCATTACTCCTGACGAGAATCATTTCCGAGGCCGTATTTGCTCTTAGTTTCTTTTTCTTGTATTATATCCCATTGTATTCTGTGGATTATACCTAAGTCTTGTAAAGGTAACCTAGATTTTAATGATAATAATAAAAAAAGAAAAATATATTTGTTCTTGACTACTGAGTATTGAAGCCGCCATTCAGGAAGATGTCGGCGACAAAGCTTTGCATGAGAATATCTAACAAATTTTCTTTCTATTCTAGTGTTGCCTGACATGTTCTGAGGTGTGGTCAGATTAAAAGGAGGACTTTCCCGAGCAATTGATTATCATTCTTGTTAATTCGCTGGCTCACTATCAGAAGGTGATGTTGCATCTTTAAATAAGTACTTTGTTGTAGGTTTTGTTTGTCAATTCTTTATCTTGCAAAACAAGAGTAAGCCCTCTTGAGTCGCGTGCTATCTTCGTGCGTGAACTACAAATGTTTTTCCTGGCTTGGGAACAACTCTTGACTTATCAAATTTAAGGAGTTACAGAGTTATGATGTAAAACAATCTTGTCAGCTTTCTTGTAACTCAACCTACCGACTCCAGTCTCAGTCAAGTTTTATTGGAACACTCCACATTCCTATCAATACCAAATTTTGCTTGCATGACACCTTTAATGCGTCTCACCTCTTTTAAGAGGAAAGAAGAGGGAGTTAGAGCTAAAATGTCCAATAATAGCTTCGGCTTTCTTTGTTTACCAGAATATTGGCTCAACGGATGAGGTTCTCAGAACAGCCAATCGGGAAAACAACTTGTTTTGATTTGGTTAGTTCCTAGAAAACTTTTACCTTTCTCATCAAAGTTAAGGATTGCCAATATTAGCCCGATAAGATCGGTCCAATTTAGTAAGCAAACAGTTTTAAAATGCACAGTAAGAAGCCCAATATATATATATATATATATCATGAAACGTCTCAATTACGGCATTCCAATAAAGGTGTCTTAAATTTCTTCTGTTCAAGAAGTTTCATGATAAACCCCCGCAAGATAACTGCAACTATAAACGTCTGGATTACATCAAAAACAAGATGATATCAATTAATTTGTTAAAGATATTGATGTGATACATCACGACAACGTAAAGTGATTGAAATTTTCCACGCTCTTGGGACAATTCACATATCCGATCTAATTAACAATATTTATCGATGGCATCGCTAAATGTTGCCACCAGGAAGAAAAGAACAGGTTTCAGCTTGCAACCTGGGGCACATGCTCTCAATACTTGTGTTTTTTTTTTCGTAATAATAATTATTATTTGGCATGAAAACAGTCAGGATGGACATATAAGGTTACAAAAAGGAGCAAACAAAATATTCGAGTGTTATCGTGTACTGAGTGGATGCTATAACGGTTAAAGTTGGGTTGGAATTTTCGCATTAAATTTGCATTTGTGTCTGTGCGTGTACTGAGTGGATGCTATAACGGTTAAAGTTGGGTTGAAATTTTCGCATTAAATTTGCATTTGTGTCTGTGCCCTTAGAACAATGGGTGGAAAACAGCCTGATTTTCTGCGGTGGCGTTGTTTAGGTTTTGGTTTGTCCCCCGAGATATGAATTGTGCAAAAAAAGCGGAAAAGAACAGAGACCCAAAGTGGATTAATATTCCCGATCCCTTTGGAAGTCCAGCTCTAGTGCTTTCTCACGGAATTTTTAATGATTTTTTTCTAGGGATAACAAAACTACATCACTATGATGGACGAAAACTCTTCTTTCAACGATACAAACTTGACAACAGGTTTGTTCTAGACTACATCAAATATACATCATTACTGGTAAACCTTGGCGCGACTGTGCGCGAAGTTAAAAATATAAAAACGCAGCAAATAACAAGAAAAGACAAGATATATTCATTTTAACCGAATTTAAATCGAAAGCGTTATCGTAAAGGAAGGTTATGCTGGTTCTGGGCTGTTATTCGCCCATTTCATAGATTTCCAAAACATTTTCAAGACTTTGGTGGGGAGTATCTGTGCGCCCATAGCCTCTAAGTGTATCGTGGCCTCTCTTAGCGACAATGTAAAAGGCAAATACTAGAGTCCGTTTTAAATGTTCAAATTTGACTCTCTCTCTATCACAAGGTTATTTAAATAGCTAAAGGTAACTCCTCTTTATACAAAAGTCCACAGGGAAAGCGAAGAGCGACTGATCAATTGTTTGTGCTTTTAATGACCTTACAGTTGGTATGAACAGAACTGAAAACATGTTTTTGAGATTAATGAGCCATTTCTTATCTTAAGATGACAAATCATTTGGCAATCTGGTAGCCTTTGCAGAATGGCCACTTTATCATTTACTAACGTGCAGATTGCCAGATTTTCCTCAAGGTTTTTACCATCCGCTGTGTTTTGATCTCAGGCCGGAACATAGTTAAAGTGCTGTTCATACGAACCCAAAGTTAAATGTAATTTACTGAAGACCGTAAAGATCATTGAGGCCTTTTCTTAGCGTTTAGTTAGAAGTAAAACGGAGCGAAATAACAAACGGCGTCGCATAGGGAAGGGGTGAAAAAGTGAGGGATAGCAAAACCTCCCTCTTTCTTCAAAACGACTATTGCGCTTCGTTTTACTTACTAAATACCTGAAACAAGCCAAGGTGATTGCTCCATCGCAATTTGAGTCTATTTTAAGGCTGGAATCTCGGCTAGGTTTCCAGAGCCTTCCCATAATGAAATCCATCTCTTGATCATTATCTTTTTATTAAGATTACGTTAGTTGAATCATTTAAGCACCTTCAGTTAACATCTTGTTAGCAGGCCTTTCACCAGCAATGGCCCCAGTCTAATATATTAATTAGGTCACTTACTATCACGAGGAAGTAACGTAGACGTTGCCCATCAGATTTTCTCTGTTTGACAGTTCCTGCATTGCTACAGCAATCAATGAGGCAGTTTATTTTCTTTCGGTGTTGTTCACGTTCGAGAACACATATATCTCTTTCGTTTTCAGAGGGCCCAGACAGACTCCATGATGGATCAATGTCTGACAATTTGATGATCCTGATAACAACGCTTTATGCAATAACTTTCGTCATTGGATTCATTGGAAACTCCCTCGGACTCTACATCATCTGCAAGAAATGCGGCATCAAAGCAGCCACTCACTTACTAATCGCCAACCTCGCTTGCTCCAATTTGCTCATTGTCTTCATAGTAATTCCTACTTCAGTATCTTTCTTGTACAACGGGCACTATTGGCTCTCGGGGATTTCAGGCACTGTCACTTGCAAGATCTCTCAATATTTATTTGTATTTCCCATTGCTACGTCCATTCTGACTATACTGGTGGTATCTATAGATCGGTTCTTCGCCGTCTGTCATCCCATGAGAGGACAGTTGTTTCGAAAGCCCAAAAAGATGACAGCCACAATTTGGATTTGTGCGGCCATAGTTACTAGCCCAATAATAGTAATATTCAAAGTGACCCCTTTCCCCTCTCCAGAAATAAAATGGTCGTGTAGTCAATATTTTGGACAAGATCCGCAGCTGGCAGATACTCTCTCTAAAGTATACTATGCTTCGCTATTTACTTTACTTTACTTGCTGCCACTTCTTATCATAACTGTTCTTTACACGATCATTGGCTACAAACTGTACAATCGGAGCATTCCTGGAATGTCCCGTTCGCCAACTTTTAGAGACAGAGTGGAAAGATCAAAGCGCAAGGTTGCCAAGGTGATGGTAATGATCGTCACTGCTTTTGCAATTTGCTGGTTTCCAGCCCACGCCGTTCACTACTACGTCACTTTCCAAAAAGAAGCCGTTTCGAGAATACCACCTTATGCGATTTCTTTACTTCTATGGATTTCGCACTCAAACAGCGCAATAGACCCATTCTTGTACATATTACTCAGCCATAACTTTCAAAGGGAGTTCCGCAAAATTATTAATCAGTGCAATTTTCGCTTTGAAAGGCGTTTATCAAGGATTTCATTCACCCTCTCCAGAAGAAACGTCCATGCAAATCGCACTGGGTCGATTGCGTGGTCATTTAGGAGATCTAACTCACACAAGGTTGATAGGTACACTATTCGCGAAAATCCAATCGGTGAAGGGCGAGATTTGAACATGCGCAACGGATTGCTGAACGAACATCACCCACTTCAGCAAAACGTACAAGACCATGCGCTGTAATAGTTAAGTCATCACGGTGTAATTGCTCCAGCACAAGGCCTGTCTCACCCTTGCGACGGTGTTGTAATGTAACGTACTTAATTGCCCTCTAACTGGATGATATAATTGTCACTGGCGGTGAGATCTTCTACGCACTATTTAACCTTACTGATGTCTTTTAAAAAAAATTAATAATAAAATTTTTAAATAAGTCTATCCCATTAGAAGAGTTAGACAAATAAAGAAACGGCTGAGTACCATTGGATTCAAGAGTATCATCGTTTTAGCGATTTTCTGTTGCCCTGGTATAGAAACTTGCAATCGTAATTCAAGTATAGAGCTCGTAAATCATTAAATAAACTGAATTTACTTAGCCAAAAAAACCGTGAACTTATATTTCCCTTTTGAGACAAGTTAATTTAGAACAAGATTAAACTAAGGGGAAGAATAATCTAGCCTGTGAAACAATCAAGGAGATTTACTCAAGCGCTGAACTATTTGAAGTCGGCAGTACACGGCCATGCGAGTATGAAGAACATTGGTAAACTGAAATTAGGAGTATTGTCGAAATTCTTTATCAAATACATGGTATCGAGCTTTCTGGAACATTGAGCTTTCTTAACCCCTAGAGCAGAGTTTTATCGTTGGTTAACCCTTCTACTCCTGTGAGTGACTGAGACAGAATTTCTCCCAGAAAATATCAAACGGACAAGTGATGAGAATCGTAATAATATAAATAACAATCAGGGAAACATTAATTGATCCAATACTAAATTCTCCGAGCTAACATCATAAGAATTCTATGGCAGACAATAAGGAGAATTACTACTTAGATCTTGGGAGTGAAAGGGTTCAAAGATTACATTATCGTTAATTGGCCCTTGACCAGAGCAATGTTAGTCGAGTGATTTACTTGCAGTTAGTTAAATACAACTACTCTCCACAATCGCCAAGCAAATTTGAACCCTACACAGTATCTACATGTAGAGCACAGTTTTTTAGCAGAGGCTTTCTTTTGAGAAGGCAAATGTAATGCGAGGAAAGGTCAAATCAAGCCCGTCGTCCAGGCTCTTTTTATTTTAGCAACTTGGGTTTTACAAAGGAAACAAGTTCTGAGCCTAAGAAATGAACACTTTATTTCTAAACGACTTTCGTTTCGTTACTCGACGTAACAAGTACTGAATGAAGACCGTTTGCATAACATATGACTCGTACATAGGATTATTAAAAAAGAAAAAAAGGTTAAAATAAAATAAAGACATTTGAAACCAACTGCAACAAACAGTCTCAGGTATAATATACTGCAATAAAGGGGGTAAGTTTGTTGAGAAACTATGGTGCTACATCGTTACGTATTAACGGATAAATTGGTTTTTATCAACCGAGTTGATAATGTAGATTGGCCACAGTAAAAAGAGTTTCAAGAGCTGACATTTCAAACATTAGCTCCTCTTCAGAGTGAATCAGTTGGACAGCAGTTTTCAAAGGGGGTGAAAAACCAAGACTAAATTATTTATAACAAAAATAAAATTGAACATTATCATTAACCAATAGAAACTCAGAGTGGAAACGGGTAACTGCTTGAAGAAAGTCGCCATTGGCTTCAGTTTTGATTCTGGTTAGTAAAGGGGTGGCGCAGGATTTCTAGACAAATCGCAGAGCGATGTGGAGTAACACCAAAAGGATCCTGGATAATTATCAATTACTTCATGAGCATGCGTTGGATATGACTTGATAAATAGTCAACGAGGTGCTTAGTATCGAGTCGGCTATAAATGTTTCATTAATTACCATGAAATCCTAAACGTTTGAATATTTGAAGCGTTTTCAGCTCCGCAACAGTCGGCAATATGCATTTCCATATAAGGTGGCTCGGAGTATGAGCTAATAACCTGAGTTGAGTGAACCAATCAGAGCATTTGGAGTTGAAAGTTGAATAACCTATACTCAACTGAAAATTTCTATGTTTGTCGATCGCATAATTCGAATAACTGAAGTCTAAATTTACCAAGGCTAAGAACTTGGAAAACTTTCAACGGTCAAGACATTTTGGAATGTTTTGTGTGACGAGATCACTTAACGCCTACTGTGTGACTTCGCACCGTGCAAGTTACAGTTTTTGTCCTTCACTTGGTTGTTACACAGTATACTTAGACTCAGTGCAGCACATAGTGACCCCTCCTGATAACTTTGCTACAAGGCCAAATATCCTAATAATAACATGTGATTGGACGTTATAAGTGGATAATAAACCGACAGTACAAGCTTAACTAATTGAAACTTACTTCTGTCGCCGGTGTCCCGTTAAATTGATCATTTGGTGTAACTTCTATTAAACTGGTTAGCAAACACGTGTAAGAACTAAACTGAACTGAAAGCTAATGAACTTGATATGTGAAACGGCTAAAAGTGTAAATTACAAGCTAAACTAATTGAAACTTACTTCTGTCGCCGGTTTCCCGTTAAATTGATCATTTGGTGTAACTTCTATTAAACTGGTTAGCAAACACGTGTAAAAACTAAATTGAACTGAAAGCTAATGAACTTGATATGTGAAACGACTAAAAGTGTAAATTACATTGTTTGTGATCATTGTCAATCATTAATAATATTTTGTCACCATAACAATCACTAAGAATTAATCATCCAATATTTCCCAACAGGATCGCCTTTGAATCAAACAGCAGGGTCACCAGAATGAAGGAAATGATCGCGAACTCAAAAATCTCTTGATTGTTTGACAAATTCTCCCTATAAGTACCATAGGAAATGTAACGAGTATGGAGAATTTGCATACTGATGTTGAGGTGCGAAGGGTTAAAAGGAAATGAGAAAGAAGAAAATTTAGACGGAATGAATTCATCTTATCCATCTTTAACTCCACTGAATCGCGTAGGTGTTATAACTTTGAGATCGCGCGATTTCTGTGAGGAGATTCCTCATTCGTGTGTTCTTGCGCGGGAGTGACCGCTTTTTTTAAACAAGGTAATTTGGTATTGTTAGCTGAGTTGACAACTTAAATTAGCCACCGTTAAGAGTTTCAAAGCTGACGTTTCGAGCGTTAGCACTTCGTTCTCTTCGCCCTGACGAAGGGCTAACGCTCGAAACGTCAGCTTTGAAAACTCTTAACAGTGTCCAATCTGTATCCTCTTCCACTGACGCAGCACCACCGTTTCCATAGAAACTTATCCCGCTTATTAAAGTACTTTTGCGTAATGATACACTACGTTAGTATTACGTGACACTTTTTTTGGTACCCCGCTGTTCACTCAAAAAGAGAGCGAAGGCTCGTGTTGACCACGAGGATCACTCGAATTTCGTAAACAGCGTTTAGGAACAGTCTGAAAAATAGGCCCGATTATCATGTTTTAAAGACTTTAGACTCATAAAATGGTGCGTTTACGAAAAGGAAAACACAAAACGTGGCGAAAAGGCCAAAGCTGCGAGTCAAATCCGGCAACGAGAAAGTACAGAACGGCAGCAAAGAGAGGAAGCATCACAGGTCGTTCAACTCAGAATTCTAATTTAACTGTTGAAGCTCTCGCTAAACATGAAGAAAGACACGATGACGATGGCGACGTGGAGCTTAAAGAGGACGAAGGATTCAGTGTGAAGAGTGGACAAACGTTTGGTGCTTTCAGCATTAGTGGCTTAACGGACTGTTCCAATCCTGTGTTTGCTACTGTGAAGAGATTTTGGGATTCTCCTTCATCACAACACAAAGAGGTCAGTTGAAAGCGTTTTGATTTAAGCTTCTTCCATCGAAAACTGGCTCTAAAATCGGTAAATATACATATCGGGGAACTGAGACATATTTTTGTTTCACCTGGGCTTTTATTCCTACAGTGATCATGAGGTGACTGTAGTGTGATTTAATGTCTTATGTAGTCCTGCAGGGAAGGACTGTTGTCAATGACAGGGTCCGAAATTTTCAGAAATTGAATACTTAAGTTATAGGAAAATCAATCAATGTCACTGTCAACTCTTCTTTACAGTACGACTCTCACCAGGACAATTATATATTGCAGTTCACTCCAACTCTCATGTTCCAACCATTCATAAAATAAATGGTCTGTGGTGCAGTAATTAGATAATGGCATGATATGTGACTCACACTGTCTATAGACTGTATGATTTTATGCCACCATCTGCATTGGTGCACATACTGTAAGATTTTAAGCTTTTAATTAATGGTGTAAAATCACTCAGTATGTATGTATATCAACTGGAAGAACATCATTAATAGTTAAGGGCATATAATCTTACAGTATGTACATTACCAACTGGAATAAAATTGCATCATAAGTTACTGGCATAAAATCTTACAGTATATAAAACACCAATTGAGCCAAATTATGCCGTTAGTTACTGTTATAAAATGTTACAGGATATATACATTACTGACTGAAAGAAATTCCACTGTTAGTTAATGGCGTAAAATCTTACAATATGTATATATTACAACTGATTGAAATTACACATTTGGTTACAGGCATAAAATCTTTCAGCATGTATATATGCCAAGGGAATGAAATTATGCGATTAGTTACTGGCATAAAATCTTACAGTATGTAAATAAAGACTGAATGAAATTACACCGTTAGTTACTGGCATAAAATCTTACTGTATATATATAAATTACCAACTGGAAGAAATTACACCATTAGCTAACAGTGTAAAATCTTACAATATACATATGTATATGTATTTATATATAAATATACCATCTCAATGAAATTATGCTATTAGTTACTGTTGTGAAATCTTACAGTATGAAAAACACCAACTAAGCCAAATTACGCTATTAGTTAATGGCATAAAATCTTACAGTATGTAGATATAACAATTGAAGGCTTAATTGACAAGGCCTTTTGTAGAAATTTCAGGAAGTTAAGTGAAAGATGAACTCACTCACTGTATTTTCATGGAGAGAATATTATTATTATATAGCTGAAGTGAATACCTAACAAAAGAAAAGTTTTAAACATCGCTGTGCATTACAGGCATGCTTTGTGTGTGCATGACACATGATTGTTTTTAGGTCTGGATTGTCTTATTACATAAAAGCAAGTTCAGATTTGTGTGTTATGAGCAATACAAGAAAGTTCATGGATAAATTAATTTTCCTTCCAGGTTTGTGCTGTTTTGGCTGCAGTCACTGAGGTAAGATTTTTGCAGAATTATTTTATTTTATTTTCACACAATATATATATATATATTTTTAAAATTTGAGGCATTTGTGAATGGTAAAGGCAAACATTGCCCAATGAAGGTTTAAAACATGGTCTCTAATGAGACAGTCATTAATGCACAGAGTAAATTTTTACTGTAGGGGAATTTTTGGTGTACCTGTGGTCAGTGGTAACTGTATCATAACAGATATATAAAATTAAATCCATTTTTTAATTCTGTAGGTTATCAAATCAAAAGGTGGCAAGGAATCTGAAACAGAGTATTTTGCTGCCCTGGTATGTTAAATTCTATTGTTTTGGATATGCATGTCATGATAAAACTCATACAGAAAATAATTATAAGTTGTTTGTAGTTGTGAATACGAAAATTTGATAATGGTAGTGGTCATTGCTTTAACAGTAGGTGATCTAAGTTTACAGTGTAGGGTATTACCTAATAAAATAACTTTAAGTTCTCATGCATTCAATTCAGCCTTCTGAGAATGTCTCATGTAAAGCATACTGATAAATGGTGTATATTTAAGGAGTTGATGTCCCTTTTTAAGTCATGGTTATGCAATGAATGACTTATTGCTGTCTGCTGGAGTGTGGAGGAAAAACTGGTGTAAATTTCCTTTGTAACCAGGCAATTTTATATTAAATTTTAGTTTATATTGAATTTTGGTCAGCAAGTGCATTCACAGTTCTGCACATATATTATACTGTTTGTGATAGAGGAAGAATATCCACACATGGTTATGGTTTATTGCTGTTGTTTTGTCACTCGCTCATTTTATGGTCTCTGAAGACCAAATGAAAATAACGAAAACAGACCAGCTGGCAAGGATGAAGAATGACCAACCTATAATGAGCAAAATCTCCCAACAAACGCCTAAATATACAAAGAAAATCTAATCATTAAAATGTTGAGACTAAACAGTAACTGTTGGTTTTCTCAAAGTTAAAAATCCAATCAGTACAGAGTAAGGAACAGAATGTTTGTACTGATGTTTTTTTCCATCCTTTTTGTTTGAAGATGACTGCCTTAGAGTCAGCTGATGAGATGGAAGCAAGAGTAGCAATAACATTTTTGTTGAGTTTGGTTATTAAAAGGTATGAAATTGAGTTATTGAATGTACTGAATGATGCTCGTAAAGGGTAAACACTGATTTATTGATAGGTATTAACCAGTTGGGGACATATTACTTTATTCACAATATGTTATTAAAAATATTGGGCTGTGAATACAAGAAAGTCATATATTTGAACTGCAGATAAAGATGTGAATATGAAAGTGATCTTCACAGTTATGAACACTACTTAAGCAGTAGTGAAAAGAAGGCCTGAAAAAAATTCAGGCCTGTATGGGATTTTAACCCATAACCTTATGCAGTGCTCTACCAACTGAGCCAACAAGCCAACTGGGAGCTGGTCACTGTGTTGGTTCCAAATAAACCCATGAAGCAGTGAATAAACATCTGTGAATATATGAAAGTCATATATTTGAACTGCAGATAAAGACGTGAATATGAAAGCAATCTTGGCAGTTATGAACACTACTTAAAAAGTAGTGAAAAGAAGGCCTGGTAAAACATTCAGGCCTGTACGGGATTTGAACCCATGACCTTATTATTAAAAATATTGTTATTAATTTGAAGTTTTCATAAGCTTTTATCTGTGGCAGTTCAAAATGTAACAAGATGTATCGACAATAGACATTAGTAGAAATGATTGTCTCATTAAGTTGAAGGACAAAACTTCTTTGCAAATTTCAAAACAAAATCTCTTTTTTTTCTCTCACTCTCTCATTTTTTTTTTCAGTGTCCCTGATGCTATTCTTCAATCAAAATTCTCCAAGTCTTGTCAAGTTCTTGTCAAGATAATGGCATCTCATGCTGCTGATGGAACCCCAGGACTTCTTAGACCTGTTAGTAAAGTGTTCAGTGTCACTTTTCAATGCAAAATATATCTTTGTAGAACAAACTCAGGTTCCAAACACCACTTGCATTACATTTCATTATTACAAATAGGACTGAAACAGTGTCCACATAATTTAATCATATTTATTAATATCAAAATGTACAGGGTTTTTGTAACATGTACATTATGAAGGAGGTAAATGTCCTTTTTGTTCTTAGGACTTGGGACCAAGTGTATGTTTCATTCGTGGTTTGTTGTCTTCTTGATGGCATCTTGACTTTATAACTGAAGTGGCCTGCAAAATTCAGCTACAGACTAGGCAGTAAAGTCCTTGAGCTTATGTACATAGTGTATACAGTATAATATTGTACTAACCTTTTTCATGTATTGAAAAGTGCAATTTCACATCATGTCTCATCATGAGACATTGTTTTGCTACTACTGTTAAATAATTACAGTATACTTGAAGTTTAACATGGGGATGTACATGTATCCTTAGAAGTGATGCAAGAGAATTGTTTCTGTTTTCTGTCCCAGCTGCTTGCCTGTCTGTGCAGATTACTCAGTGTTCAGGAAGGGGCTGTTTGGTCAGAATCATCAACAATAACGACCTACAATGGAGTATTGAGCTTTATGGTTCATAATAAACCAAAGGTGAGGGAAAGGAAAATTGTTGACTGAATTAACCCCTTACCACCTTCATTTTGTGCAAATGAGAGTCAACTGATGTTAACATAGAACTTATTGGACATGTCCTACATGTATATGGGACTCTCAGAAACGATCATCTCTCTGACCCCAAGAGTGACTTGCAACTAATTTCTTTTTACAATCTCACCCCAGAATCATTCACTAAGGTTCCAAGAATAAAGGAAATGACCAGCAACTAAAGAAGCTCTTGATTGTTAAAACAAATTCTCCCGGTCAGCACTTAAGGAAACATTATAGAGAACAGTACGGAGAATATACACACTGATGTTAGGGTGTTAGGGGTTAACTTGTTACTTCCCAATATATCAGTTAGTTAACCCTGGTACCTGTAAAATACATTTGTTGAAGATGTGGATGAACAAACTAATTACAGTGTAGCAAGAAGTTGTTTTCCTAATATAACACCATAAAAATAAAATTCCTGTTCATGCACAGTTTTTTATAATTCCCAGCCATCTGTTTGTACTGCAGGTCCGAAAAGCAGCACAGGAGGCAGTTAAAGTACTGTTAGAGAAGCCACCAGGAGATATGACACATCACCCTGCTTGTGGGGCAACAGCTAAATTCTGTGTTCAACAAATCGAAGAAAATGGAGGTATGCATATCTACTTGTACGGCATGATGATTAATTTATCAATTACTGTATGTCATAATATTGCCTTAGTGTGAGAAAATTGCAAAAAGACTATTTTAGCAGGAATGGACTGACATTTTAGTTTCCTCAGTGGACATCTTTATCATCAGAGTTTTAAAAATGTAGAGTTGTTGAAACTGTAAATCAAATGTTGTGTGCCTGGTTAGTGAAGACTTCCTTAATAGGGTTCACCTGCTACACAGTCACCTGCATGGTCTGTACCTTATACAATAAAGTGCATTTAAGTCCAGGTACTGATGTAAGAACATTGCATCAAGCAAAACATTACATCCAGCAGTAATGTTTTAACCTGTTGAGTTTATTGTATCCCAATTCAATCTCTTTATTCTTGTATGGCCTCTCCTCTCAGGGTCTTCACAAGGTACAGCCACCACTTTACACATCATTGGTATTCTAAAGGAAATACTCCCTTGTCTTCCTGTACAGGTTTGTATCGTTAAATTGTAGGGATTGTAATGTTACTGAATTTTTTTTAGTGGGTCAGATTTAAAGTTCCATAAAAATTCATTGTCATTCTTAAATTTTACATAAAACACAAAAATTGATCATAATGTGCAGTGATTGACTTTATTGCCATTTTAGGGAATTAGTTGGTGGCAAAATACACAAGTTGTTTTAGTCAGTAAAGTTATGGCTCCTTGTCAAGGTTCTTTGTTTTTAGAAGTTTTTATTTGATTTTGTAGTGCTTCTTTAACTCGTATTCAATATTTTCAAATCCAGCCGCAAATTAAATTTGATAAAAGTCAAGGTTGTATTGTCAGGTTTGGGGAGGGAGAGCCAAACAGCAATACAAACATGGGGAATGAAATTTAGAATCCAAAGACTTTTGCTCTGAGTGTGCCTATATTTAAGTATAAACTAAAGGGCAGTACACATGTACAGTATGTGTACATGTACTGCACCTTCAAATATAACTGCACAAAGATTGCATGAATTGAAATTATTATTATGGTTTTAAAGTACAGAACCCATCTTTAGCAACAAGCTTAATAATTTGAATTTTTTACTCTTTAACTCCCAAGATTCCATTAGTGATTCTCCTTACTGTCTCCTATACAATTCATTTGATGTTAGTTTGGAGAATTTGAAATTGGATCAACCAATAATCCCCTTATTTATATTTTTTCTTTATTCTCATTACTTGTCTGCTTGCTATCATACTGATGGTGTAAGGAGAAATTCTGTGTAGGTCGCTGGTGGGACTTAAAGGGTTAAAATGTTTTTTCCTTCTTTTCAAAGAATGTGAAGACCATTTGTGAGTGCCTTTTAAAGCTGATGACATTAGGAAATGTGGTATGTCTTATAGAACGCTGTACTTGTACTTGCATTACACTGTTAGTACTGTGTTGCAGTAATTCAAAGTTCAAAAACTCTGTCTGCTTCTCCTCTGGCTCATGTAATAAGATGTGTGTTTCTTTTTTTTCCAGATGGTGACAGTGAATTCTCTTCAAGCCATTTATAAGCTGCTCTGTGCAAACCCAGACACCACAACACTGAGCAAGCAGCTTAATGCTCAGCTAATCAATGTAAGAAGAAAGAGTACAAATTGTTATAATTTAAGCAAATTTTTACTCAGCGATAAATACAGCAAGGATTATTTTGTTTGGTGAAAGAACTGTTGAGGTAGTGTTCAAAACTTAGTGTCAAAAATAAACCTGGTTTGCATTAGAGTTGTTTTACTTTGTCCTGTTATACTGAAAACTTTGCACCACCTTGTCAACCAACTGTATGCAAACCTAAAATCCATTGAGATCAAGGTCACTTGCTATTTTCCAGCATCTCAGTTTCAGTTTTCATCATGATGCCATACTTCTTTTTCGTAATAGCCATATTGTACTTTGGTTTTGGCTCTCAACACTCAGTTGAGAACTGCACTGAGTAGCAAATAAAATTTGCAATGTAAGTCATTAATTTTTTGAAACATCATGCATTTCTTGTATCAGGCTCTATATGATTACCAACCTAGTGTCAATGACAGCAATCCATCACAAGCTTGGATTTCAACTATGGAGAAGGCTTATGTTAACCTCGCGAGGTATGAGTGTGAACCATAGGGTCTATAGATCTTGAAGTGCAAATGCTGTAAATTTGGAAAAGATTTACTGTAGCTCTTTTCATTATGCATGAAAATGGTTCTGGTAATGCTATCTTAATTACATGTAGACTCAATAGTGTAATTTGCATTTGTGACGTTAAAGCATCGGTGTATAGCTAGTTGTTAAATTTTGTGCTCTTACTGCTGGAAAAATGAAAGAAATGACAAACCAAAGGGGCTTCTAAAAGGGAGGGAGGGAGGAAGCAATTCAGAGCTTCAAGATACAGTAACATTTGGTACTTGTACATTGTATATCAACCTTTTTATGTATTTCCTTGCAGATTAGATGCTACTCTTTGCTACAACCATCTGCCAAGATTTTTTTCTTCGTTGATGAGTTACTTTCTATCAGATCAACGAGTTCTCTCAAAAGCTGCACAGGACACAATGAGTGTAAGTACTTCCACCTAAATGTGAGTCTTTCTTCAGCCACTTTTAGAGTAATCTTAGAAAGATTGTTTTCCTCCCAAACGGTGTATGCACCCTGGGTGTTAGAGGTCCTTCTCCAAATGGGTGACCAAAACCTCGAAGATACTGGTACATGTAATTGTTCCAGTGAGTGCGTGTACATGATTGTACAACTGTGTGTACTGGAAATTTCGAGAAAGTGAAACTTCTATTATTGAAGAAATGAATTTTTGAAAATACAGTACAGCTCAGAGGTAGATGGCCAACGCACATGCAAAACCTTGAGTGCGTTATTCAACGCAGTCAGCTTGCTTTTTTCTGCACTGTTTCGGAGTTTCTTGTTTCAAAATGCCGCCGCCAAAACATCGAATCAACATTTTCAAATCTCAACAATTAAAGGATGCAATGGCTGCCGTTTCAACCAAACGTTGAAATGACTTTTCATGATTCCACTAATATTTCGTATAATATGTTTGCGAGTTTTTAAGATGTGAACAATAAACTTAATGCACTTTTTTTCTGGATGATGTAAGATTCCAACCTGGGATCGTGAAAGCTTTGTTCTAAGAATTTAAATTCATTGTAGAATGATGGGACTCGATCGAGAAGTTGGCTAAATCGACTGACGCCCGTACGTCATGTTTACTCTCATTCGACGCGAAAGCATTTCTCAGTTTTCGTTCCAATAATATGTTATTGTTTCTTATAATTCGTTTCACGTTTTGAGTTTTCGTGTATGGTCAGGGTTTTAACTTATCCCTCAAACGTCAGAGAAGCCTGTTAAGATAAAATTACATTTCCCTCGCTGAACCAAAACCTGGCTAGATGAAAATTTCGATGAGTTTTTGGGGTACTGAGTGAGACTTCTGTGTAGTTTAAAACAAAGATCTCAAAGCATAAATTCTAAGCCACTATTGTGTACAAAGATCAATGGCGTGTATGTATCTTTCGAGATGGAGTTTCGGCTCTTGCTATCTGATGTTTTGAACTAGAAAGTGACTGTATCCACTTTCTTATATATGCAGATTTTACTTCAAGAGTGTCTTGCTCCAGTTGCTAAAGAAGTCTGTGCAGAGATCACCAAATCTTCGGGTGCAAGCGCTACCCCGTTACACAAAATTATAAAGTGAGTGTCATCCTATGTCAGTGTAGCGTGCTATGACATTCAATAGGCCATTTCTGATGTATTAAAAATTCTAACGTGGCTCCGAGGCTAGAGGAAATAAAACAAAATAAATTAATTATTCTTCTCTCAATCTCAAAGTGATTTCTTTTGTTTAAGTCCCCCAAGCCTCGGAGCCAAGTTTGAATTTTAGTATATCGAAAATGGCCAGTTGGAGGAGTATGGTCACTACCACTACAGGTTCTTTCTTACTGTCACAAACAAAGAAGACCAGAAATTATTCTTTCACATCACAAAGTATTTTTCAATTGAGTGTCCAAAGTATCCTGGGACTGAATTGGTGTTGCTTTACTTCTCTCTGTGATTGGCCTAGAAAACTCGCGCCACTCTCTCAACCAATCAGATGCAAAACTAAACAATCACGACTTGGTCACGTGTGTTTTTCCGTGCTTTAAGTAGTTTGGTTGGTGTCACATTGAGTTCTCATTGGCTCTTAAAGATCTTTTGATTACTCTGGTTTTGGGTTTTATGACACTCAATTGAAAAGCGCTCCAATTTAGAAACATAGTAGGCAAAACCTAATTAATAAGTGGGCATTAAGAATTGTTAGTTTCCTTGGTAGTCTCTGGTTTCTGGTTTCTTGTATTAGACAAACTGAGGGTTAGCCACTTCATTAAAAGAGGCAATACTCTGTCGTTAGCCATAGCATCGAAATGAAATGCTTTATCTTTCTCTAGATGCATAGAGTCAGGTCTTCAGTATCGTTATCAAGGATCATGGTCTGTGATTTTAGAGGTTGTCAGAGTCTCATTCGAGGTGAATTTCTCCTTCTGAGTTTGTCTGCCTGTTAATATGTTTAAAGGGGTTAAGTTTTTACAGAAACTGTGTGGCAGCGTCGGTGGGGGAGTATAAAAAGGTAATTTTGGTTTTAGCAACTGATTTGATAATGTATAATGGCCACCAATGGATTTTCAAAGCTGACTTTTCGAGCGTTTGCCCTTCGTCAGAACGAAGTTTATTTGTTTGTTTGTCTAACTTGTTTTATTTACCTCTACACAAAACTCTAATGCTACAGTACTTCTTGTTGTTGACTTGTACACGTACATCTAGGTATAGGCCTTCTCTGTTATCAATTTAAACATTCCTATACGAAGTACAAACAACTGAGTCTCATCTTTTCAACAGGTCCTAGGGAACCAGTGCCCAAAATTGCTAAGAAAGGTGAGCTATTCAGTTAAACCAGTCGCTTGCTAGTGCGTGTGACTGGTTTTGTTTCGAGTCATTTTCATTGTGATTTTACTTACAATGATTCAAACTCGTAGGAACTCTAACCATTTAATGTACTACGTGTACCTGGGAAGTTTGAATTGTGGGGAGTCATCTTTATTTTTCTATTCTTGTCATGCTTATGAGTGAAAATCCATCACAGTCATCATTAGTTTCTGATGTAATATATAGATTTAGACAAACCTAAAAGCGGAGCTCGCATTTTTTTTTTCCCGCACGTCCCTTCAACAAAACTAAAGCCCCTACTATGGATAAAGTGGATTTTTATTTGCAACTTCTCCGTGTCCGTGTAGAGGACTGATTATAAAATAGTGCCCATGGTACAGTTGGTCGCGCATGCTAAAAGTAGCACCTTGTACAGTCGGTCGTACGTCCCAATTTTTTCGGCTTGATGGGTTACTACTATTTTGTATAATTATGGGGCTACGCTCTGCGAGCTCCGCTATTACTGTACTCATGCATTTTTGTTCATATACATGCGACTTTTTATTTTTCGAGAAATAACCACTTGGCTGAAGGCCCTTGTCCCAGAAAACCAGGGTGCTCAGCTTTTAGAAATTTTATCACAGCAAATTCACTCACGTTGTTAAAAGACATTAGTTACTGGCCCGTGACAATTGCTATTTGCAAGAGGGCAGCCTTATCATGCAACCCATTTTAAATGGTGTATGTTCCTTTCTTGAAGCTTCTAGTTTCCCTCTGTGACTTGCGGGGCACACATCAATTCCCTTATGTCAACAAGTTGGACCGAGCCGTCGGCATGGCTATACAGAAAATGGGACCAAGGTACAGTGGTAAAACCACAGCTCTTAGTGTTTCAGAGATCTGTTTAGTAACCTTTCCTGCTGGCTGCTGAGCTAGGAGATTGGTTATAAGAATTTTTTGTGATTGAGCCTATTTCGTTTGAGTGTCGAAAAAGTAATCGCAACAGCCAACCAGAGGAAATTAAAAATATCTCAAGAGCCAATAATAAGTGAAAGCAAAGTTGAAACCTGTAAAGCGATTGAATCGAGGGAAAACGCGGGTGATCGAGTTGGGATTGGTTTTAAACTGGATTGGTTTTAAAGCTTGATTGGTCGGGAAAGTGGCGGAGTTTTTGGACCAATCACGTACCAAGGAAGGCAAAATCAAAGTAGTCTCGGGTTAACAAGGTAATTTGGTATTATCAACTGAGTTGTTAACACCAAATCACTTGTTATACTCTCTCACCGACGCAGCACCACAGCTTTTTTAGGAACTTACCCCTTCATTCATTAGTGTCGGATTTCTCTTTATACTAGAAAATTTCTCCATCGAGGTATATGGAAAATACTGCAGCTGTACACTGTATCACTATTGTAATAAGAGTTTTGCATGGTGAATGGGCAAGTAAAAGTCACAAAGTTTTCAGCTTTCACATTAATCTTATCGTCTTGGCACACTGTATATAGTTACTATACACTTTGTGAGCTTGATGAGGCAATTGTTCAAGATACGTTTGAGTAGTCTTACGGTTACTTTTTCTGTTTCAGGGTTGTTTTAGAAGCTGTGCCTCTTCAACTCGACAAGGAAATGTAAGGAGAGACTAAAGATATTTACAGCTGAACACATGTTAAAACAATACATCTTATTCATAAAGAGATGTACATGAACCACAATGTATTGTTTTTCAAGTTGACAGTCATATCGTATTCAACGAAGTAAAGTAGCTAAAGCTCTGAATACAATTTTGAATGTCGGTGATGGAGAACTATTTGCCCGAATGTGAAAAAATGTTCAGTAGTTTTAGAAAAGCTTACTACATTATAGATTTTCATGTTTCCGAACGGTTTTTTTTTATCTCATTGTGGGGGCTAAACCTTGAGGTAAGGAGATGAAAATGAGCAATTTTTACTCTCTCTTTATGGGATTCAGTTTTTCTGTATTGGCTCTCATTCTTCTCTGCGCCTAGGCCTGCTCCCGCGCCTTAAGAGCTCCCGGTGTGTCTGGCTTACTTTGTGCGTGTTCGTGAACAGTTTTTGTGTTATCCGTTCTCCCTAAACTTTGAGGCTGTTTTTTCTCTTACGGTCCTGCTGGACGAGTGTGGGGAAAAGCGAACGCATCATTAGAAAATGAAAGGGAATGAAATATTTTGTCTAGTTCTATCTAATATCGTCCATATCTCTTCGCCCGAAGCTGTCCCTCCAAACTTAAAGAATGAGAAACAGATGAATAGCAATTCTCTCAGCTCTCATCGTCCACTCCTTGCAATTGATTTATTTCAGAATTGACATTAGACATTATTTTTACTTTCATGTTCCAGAGGTGGACCTTGCAACTTTCCACGCAGCTGGCTTCTGCCTGTTTTGAAAGATAACATCAAAGACACCGAGTTAAAATACTTCTTTGAAGTTTTGCTGCCACTGTCAGCTGATCTGAGGGCCAAAGGTATGACAGCTTCTTACATATGTCGTAAAACACCCGCCGCACTGCTTTTGAAATAAATACAGCACTCTGACAGTACAGGAACAAGCAGGACGTCCTTGATTTTGTACACATTTATTCTTTCCGAAAACCTGAATAATACTTATGGCGACTTCCAAAGAGTCCAATCCAGACGTTTACGTGACTGCTTCCACTTGTTAACCGTTAAACCCGTAAGAGTGATTGGCGTCCTATTTCTCCTAACAGAGGAGTTTCCTTTAAGAGAGATTCACGTGTATAATTTTTTCCTTTTAGCTACAACTCTCAAGGAAGCAGGGAAACTACTCGAGAGTAAAGTATATGACACTTTGCAACTACAGGTAAAAATAAAAACCAAAAAAGTGACGTATTGGCTACACTTAAGGACTCCTTTCATTGTACTCGTTTATAAGCATGTAAATGTTCCTACCTGATCTCATCGACTTGTGTAAAATCAACATTCCTTGTCCCGCGCTTGCGGCAAGACTATTGGCATTTTTTTTTTCTTTATTGTATAAAAAATATGCAGAAAAAAATTGAATCGTCCCTAAAAATATCAAAAGGAAACAAAAGTGGGTAAAAGGAAAACTGAGGAATATTCGAAGAAAAAGTTTATTTAAAAACGAGTATTTTGTGCTGCTTACTTAATATGTAATGAACCGCTTTAGTTTGTACTTGTGGGATAACCTGATAATGATACATGTATATCTTTTTTTCAGATATGGGCTCTTTTACCAGGATTTTGCACTCGACCGACCGACATATGCCTGGTAGAGTTCATATTTCTACTCAGATTTTTTTTACTTAAGCCATTCGTGATAGGAAACCATGCCATTAATATTTACACGTTACTGATCGAACGAATATAAGATTTTTAATACAGCTAAATCTTTCGAAATCAATTTCCTTTGCAGTCATTCAAGTCTGTCGCTCGAATATTGGGCACGGCCCTTACAGAGAGAGCAGACTTACGTTCAACAGTGTGCCAAGCTTTGAGGCTGCTTATTTCCAAGGTGTCGGATGGTAAGGCCATCACTTGAAATTCTGGTTTTTTTTTATCATATCTTAGATGTGTAGATGTACAATGAGAAGATATCGTGTTGAAATTTCAGCCCCTTGGAGGTAAAGGCATTCTCACGTATTTTAAAACGAGACGTGCCCCTCGGAAACCAGTCGCTTCGCACGAAAAGCGACATACAAGAAGGTAACGACGTATGTTACCTTGTTTTGAGGCGAATAGCAGGGCTCGGTTGTTTAAAAAGCATATACATTGCTAATCCAGCGGATAGGAGTTTTAAAAGCTAAGTAACTTTTCGATCGGATAGAGATTTATCCAGTGGATAGGGTTTTCCAGCCTGTAAACAACCTGGGCTAGGTTATATGAGTTTGTTGTTGTTCCCGTTTTGTTTTACCCTATCGTTATATTTGTTTTGTATGGATTTTTTCCCGTGAGACCCTGTGGCCCAATGTAAATTGCGTTGAGCTGCTGATCAAAAAGGGTTGGATCTTAGGAAGGACATTGTGTTGTGTTCTTAAGCTGGACCGGCGCAGCTGTCACACATGGGTTTAATGGGTACCATTGAATAGTGGCAGGAACCACGACAAAATAGTGGGGAAGGTGGAGGGGTAGGGGCTAGTATTTCATCTTTGAGGAATGATGATACTCCTTGTCACTGTGGGATCAGCTATGATAACCACACGAGTCATTCTTTATCTGATGCAGACCCTACCTCAACTTTGTTATGCAAAGGTAACAAATCGCTAATCATACTTTCTTTTTGCTGCAACTTTCAGATGCAAGCAAAAAGGAGTTATCCCAATACTCAAAGAACTACCTTCCAATCCTGTTTAACTTGTACACTGCGGAAGACAATGAAGGGGATGCTGATAAACTGGCAATACTGGAGACAATCAGAGTTTACCTGAGCATAACAGATCACAAAGTTAGTAACTTGCCTTCTATGGTACTCTATTTGCCAAACCGCATCGCAAGGAAGGATAAGACAAAGTTCGTTTTCCTTGTGTTAAAAAAAAATAGCGAGTTACTCTTGCACTGTAAATGCGCTGGATAGAGAAGGAGAAGAACAATTTATAGATAGCAAATTAGCCAAAAAGCAAAAGGAATCATGCAAGACTCTTGGGGTTGGTTATTGAAACGAGGTCTAATTTGGGCCGTACTTTTTGACAATCAATGGAATTCGAATATTTCTTATAGGTGGGGTTTTTGAAGTAATTAGATCTCTCTGTTTTAATAACCAGCCCTTGGTTCCCCTAAACTTGCACACAAGGAAAAGCCTGGTAAAGAGTGTTTTCACAAATTATCGCGTTTCTCGTTGCGCGGGCTAAGGTGCATGCAAAATCTTGCTCGAAAGACAAGAAACGTTGCTCGGTGAAATTTTAAAATAAATTCACAACTTATGACATAAGACCCAAATGAACATTCTCTCCCCTAGAATTACATAAACACATTTAATGTTCGGACGAGCCATAATAAAATCCTGTTACTTAAAACTTGTCCTCTGCCTTCTTCTAGCTCGTGGCCACGTTCTTCTCCAAGGGTCTTGAAAAGTTAACCGACGGTAAAAGCAACGGAAAATCACGGTACTAGATATTATTTGAACTTTTTTTCCATAACACTTATTTGTCACCCTCTCTCCTCCATTTCAATGTTGCTTAGTGTTAACAAAGTGGTCCCTAATTTTCTTGCAACATTGTTAGGGAGAAGAGAGAGGGGAATTTGAAGTAACTTAGATGTAAATTACTAGATCGCTATTTATTGTGTCGACTACCTACTAAAGGGAGGTGTGCCAACTAGTTTGCCCCTCATCATAGAGAGACCAGTTATGACGCAGGATGGAATAGAAATGTTAGCTGCTAAAAATTATAATAATGATAATGAAAACAGAATCCTTAACTCAGACACAAGCCAAAGCACTTTAAACGTAGATTCTCTTCTCTTTTTACCTCTGAATAGAATAGACTGTTAGCATAGACATGTACCAGTCGATTGCTGTCAGTTACACCGTACGTGTAAATGACAACGATCTACGGTAGATGTACTCTGCTTACATGTATGATGCAAAAACTTGAGGGAGTGTACATTTAAATAAAAATAATAAGTAATTTTCATTTTTCTTTTTTCAGACATTTGATGATGGACTTAGTTATCGCGATGGTGCCCTATGTGGATGGGCAAAATATAAAGAAGCTCTATGATTTGGCGTCGCCATGGTTACAGGTGAATACAAGAGAATGAAGTGTCCAGTGTGAACACTTTGAGCTTGTTTTGTTCGTGTAACAAAGAAAACTTTTCAAGATTTTCGCAAATTTCTAATAAAGGCATGTTATAGCAAAGTACGCGATTTAATAACTTCACCGAAGTTATGGTTATAGTTTTTTTGTTTTGTTTTGTTTTTTTTGGCCTTCTTAATTTTTTGTGTCTTGCAATGTATCTTCAAGGGGGGCAAGGATTGAGAAGATTAACTCGAAATAATATTGGAATAACCTTAAAAGCATTCTAGTTAGAGGTAAAACCATATGACACGAAGTAATAGTCGTGCATCACCTTCTGCGTGCTGTTTATATTCAAGGCCACAGATATTACGCAGCAGAAGAAGGCTTATCGCGTATTGGAACAGATTTGTGGCGCTGAATCTGAGAGCAGCCAAGAGTTCGTCGTTTCACATCTTAGCGAACTTCAAGAAATTCTTTTAAAGACATTAGCGGCGTCAAGTTCAGCTTCTAAAACTGTGAGTACTGTTGAGATGATGAGCTAACCTATGAGAAATTCTGAGTCTCCTGTAGAGAATTGGAACCATAATTTGTAAACGTACAATACTCTTTGTCATGGTATGAAGGTGACGACTTGGATATAAAAAGAAAGAAGATTACCTCTCTTTTTTCCTTGCGGGGGGGAGGTGGTAAGAGGGGGGGGGAGGGCGAGGAACACGTTTGCCTTGTAGAAACTTGAGGAGCTGGTGAAGGGCTGCCTGCGATGAATCAAAATCTGTTCATGGAGTACTACAATTTACACGCAGTACAAACTCTTACGTGAACCCTTCACACCATGAGTGACCAGCTGCTAATTTTTCCTTACAGTCTTATGGCCGAATCAAACTTTAAGGTCTTTGGAGAAAAGGAAATGATCACTTACTATGGAGGCTCTTGATTGTTATACAAATTCTCCTTGTCAGCACTGTAGGAAACGCATAGAGAAGAGTATGGAGAATATCCATGCTGATGTTAAGGTGTGAAGGGTTTATGGGCCTCGTAAATACTGCGTGTAATGATTTCGGTAAAAATTTCTGGTCCTTTTCTTTTACGTTAAAGCATTTGATTTTCATACGAGTCTAAATTTGGCGAGGAGGACATTTTAATTCTGTTTCTCTTCTCCTTTTTAGCCCCGTTTGCGCTGCCTTGCTCATATAATTAAAAAGGTGGAAGACCCTGCAGAGTTTATTCAAGCCATAATTCCTGAGGTAAGTTAGCCAACTTCCTCAAAGAGTGATTTTCAAGGGAACATCTAACGCAACTCAGATTACATTGGTTTTGTTTAACTGGTTGGTCTAGGAAAGTCACCCAAACCTCTAAACCAATCAGATGCAACCAATAAGAAATCAAACAGTAAGCGATAGCAAGTCGATAACTTGCGCTTTCCCGTTCTTCGAGCGTTTTTTTTTTTTTTTTTTTTTTAAGTTCTCATTTCCTCCTGGTGACATTCAGTTTTCTTCCTTCTGATTGGCTTTTTTGATCACATTGTTCTTGGTTTAATGACACTCAATGAGACAGGGTTAGAAGTTTTAACTGTGCGGACAATTTTCAATTAATTTTCGACTGTAAGACGCTACTGTTCGTTGTCTTGTTCAAGGTGATACTTTGTTCCAGAGAAGTTTCTGTTAAAGCTCGCACATCGGCCTTGACCTTACTGATTGAATGCTGCAACGCCAACTTCCGTTCGTCGGGCAAGACAAGACAAGGTGAGGAGATCTCTGAAATAATTACAACATTTCTGAAAACGCCTTGTGACGTTTTTTTCGGATACAGTTAATTCATTCTTCAGAGGTTTGAGTGTTTTTATTTTACAGGTTAGTTGTTCTGTTGAATTCACTTGTTACTATTTTATATCTCTTATTTTGTTTTAGAATGTTTGATCTCTTTTCTGGAGTTGGTAGTTGCGGGCATCGCGGGCTCACCGCACATGATAAGTGCCACTATCATATCCCTGTCTAAGGTCGTGTACGAGTTTCGACGTGAGTATTAGACCAGCATCAAAAGCACATTTCGAGTTAAGCAGCGCCTTACGTTTATTGAATGGTTAACGTTGTGTTTACGCTTTCAATTTTCAGACGATGTTCCCAGTGCTTTGCTGGAGAAACTTATACAAGGTATTTTAGTTTGTCTGCGATCCACTGCTAGGGAGGTGATCAAGTCATGTCTAGGCTTCTTCAAGGTAAGGTTTCCTTAATAGAGACATTTAGCACCAGGGTTTTCGCATTAACGGTAAACCTGAAACGGCAGTTTCAGGTTAGGCGTTTGGCGTTTGACGTTTATGGCTTCTACTGCCTTAGCTACACCTCTCCAACAAATTGAAGAGGCCGCCATATTGAATTTCCAGACAACAGTAGTGTTTGATTTTCAAATGGCAACAAGAAGTCCTATTTTCACTCATTCGCTAAAAAATATATCTAAACTTGTTCTAAAAAGACTGGTTTACATAACTTTCTGATTTGTACTTGGCATACAAACAAATTCAGGATAAAAAGCGTTCAGGTAAATCACTTACGTGAAAACCTACCTCTTGGCGTTGAAAACGCTTGTTGAGAACTCCGAACGTGACCACATGGCTTGATCACGTGACCTCCACCGGTTTGCCGTTCGAGTTTTCCGCTGAAAACCCTGGTGCTAAATTTCACTAATATTTAGAGTGATACACAGTCGGGAAGCTTACTTTTTCATCTCTTAAGCGATGCAAGTGACATGCTCCACTCAGCGCGAAATTACTGTCGCATCGTGCAACGTACTTAAGGTCAAGTCGCTCACATCTTGATACTTTGACTCACGTTTCGCGTAACAGAGAGATTGCAGGATTTTTAAACTAAAACTCATTGAAATAATGACTATAATCGTTTGAAATGCAGAATTCTTTGGCTAAATTTCCAAAGCCTGATCTACAAGTGTATTTGTTTTTTAGACGTGGAGAATATCCTCCCGTTACTTTACACTGTTCTCTTGCTACTAAAATTCTTAATTGAAACCTCTAAGTTTGGCAATCCTTTTTATTTTTTCACAGGTTATCATATCTGTTATGAACCAACAGGACTTGCTTCCCTATCTCCAGGAACTCGTAAGTGAAAAAATGAAGATCCATTAATTTAAAAGCTATTTTTATCAAACTTGTGGTTACAGTAGTAAATGTCGTTATGTGAGAAGGGAAAGCTGTATTTCAAACTGCTGAGAGTTGAGTCATTGTGGCGTCTCGTTTCAGATAATTCATTAAAGGACCAAGTGCTGTTGAAACTCCCTTTTAGGAGATGTTGTTTGGACTTTTTTTTTGTAGATTGGTGGTCTGGTAGCCTGGAACGATGATGCCCGTCGGCGCTTTCGCTTCAATATCAAAGTTCTGTTCGAACGTCTCCTCAGGAAGTTTGGGTCAGTAGTAGTAAATCTGAGCCGTTTGTATTTCAGTTGGATTCCTTTATTAAAATCGTAATGTTATTTCCTCGTTTTGTTTATATTAATTACTTTCCTGTTACCTCAGAAAAATGTTGAGTGGAGCCAACACACACACCCAAAGATTCTTGAAATGATGGTGTGGCCTTAATATCGGTATACTTGTGAAGGAAATGTAGATTTTGCAGGATTTCTTAAAACTCGAATGAAAACTTGAACATGAATTAAATTTTGTGTCGTTTCTTTGTTTTAACGGCCAGTTTTGGGAAGAACTGCATGGTCTATTTTCCATCGCTGGAGAGTATACGCCGAACACACTGACGTGTACCTCTCGTTTATCAAACCCCCAAAAGATACGTTTTGGTGGGAGAATGGTACCCGATTAGAACTTAAATTTAGTGAATCGTTGTATATTAACGTTGCTCGGGAAATATTATGATTTGAAATTATTTTTGAAAAAAATTATGAATGACGAACGTCGGATTTTATTGTGATTCCTCTGTTTTTTAGATACCAAACAATCTACAAGTGTACCCCTGAAGAACATCAAAAATTAGTTCACAACACTTACAAGACAACTCAGAGACTAAAGAGGCAGAAAATGGCGGCAAGGAGAGACAGAAAATCCGTGAGTATTACTTGAAGTTGGTTGTTCAAATTTTGTCGTAATTTTGACTGATTGGTTACAGGACTTTATGTCCAATTATGTGTATACTGAATATGAAAGCAGTCTTGGCAGTAATGAACACTACGTAGAGAACATTTCCCAGTTGACTTGTTATCTCAGTTGGTGGAGCGCTGCACCGGTATCGCAGTGGTCCTGGGTTAAAATCCCTGTACAGGCCCCGTACAGGCCTGAATTTTTTTTTCACGCCTTTTTTTCACTACTGCTCAAGTAGTTTTCATTACTGTGAATATCGCTTTCATATTTATTTCTTAAACCGCAGTCCACATATATCATTTTCATATATTCAGCTCTTTTATGTGTATACATCCTGTTACGAGGTCGTCTGACATTGCTAATCACTTGTATAGTTGGACCTCACTCGGTCGTATTATCATTAAAAATGCTGCTATCTGTTAATATAGGATAGTTTTGTATGTGTGTGTATTATGCTACCTTCAATTTACATGGAAAAGACCAACATACCAACAGGAATATCGAATTCAAATTTTAAACGTGAAGTTGTTCCCTGTTCTTTGCACTGTAGCTCTATGGTGATAACGCATTAGAGACTCAATGCGTTTTGAAAAGTTGTAGAATCTGTAATTGGGTACCTTCGTTTCCAGCTTTGAGTCTTGTTTGTAACGTAATTCGACTTAATTCAATCTCTCCAGCACGAGGACAAAGAAGGATTCGATCAAGAATCGCCACAACTTGAAAGGTTGGTTTTTGATATAGCGGAGGCGCAAGTCCCAAAAGTAGCTTGAGTAAACAACGCCATTGCATCACCAGTCCCACTGCACAAAGGGATTGCATTTGGGTTATCATCGATTTACATTTATCGAACTTTTATACATCAGTTGTACTAATATTGCTAGTATATTTGGGAACGCTCTGAGTTCGGCGTAAAACGAAAGAAACCTTTTTTTAATCCTTTTTTGTCATAACTTTTTTTTCGCCCTGATGATTCGAGGAGGAAATTCTGGAGGGCCCTCTGATATGATATACCTCTGTTCCAAGAGCACCTCTCCTAAAGGCTGTATACGAACTTGTTCATACTGAAAAGAAGTTCGTCTATCCTTTGTATCTAATCGCTGCTTTGAACAGACAGGGGACACTTTTCTGTTTTCGTAGGTGTTGTTTGATCGAAGGTTCCAGTGAAGTTCGTTTAACATTACATTATTCAGTGAACAGTTTGCGTTCAGGAAAACGTTCAATCATTCAGTTGATGAGAAAAGTCTCAAAGCGACTGTGGTCTGTTCTACGCCGCGATCGTAGCTCGTGGATCGCACTATCCGATTTAGTTTGTCTCGTACCACCTACTTAGAGTTCACGTCAGTGCAACGTTTACTTTTAGTTATGAAGATCTTATGTTTGGAGAAGATGAAGAGGAGGAGAGACCTGGTATGAAGAAAAAGAAACAGGTATCAACACCCGTTCCAAATATGCTTCAACTCCACATTTGTTTCAAGTTGATATTAGGGATGTTTTACTACTGATGAGTGTCTGATCTTTGTAGGAACCTGAATTAAGAAAGATGATATTTGTTCTTGTTGAGCATAGGGAAATGCCGTGGAAACAATAATTAACAGAATTTTGAAACTTTTTAATCGACTCGCAGGCTGCCAAAAAAGGTCAAGCCGGTGAACGTGTGAAAGGTCCAAAAGCCTGGATCCGAGAGGGAACTGAAGAAGAGCCTGTGGATTTTCTTGACCCGGGAGTGGTGCAGAGGGTTGTGGGTAAGACATTTCCTAGCATCCAGGCCCCAGTTGTTCGAAGGCTGGATAACGCTATCCAGTGGATAAATCTGTATCCGGAGGTTAGCGCAGTACGTTTGTAAACGCTTATCCGTTGTATAGCAATTTATCCCTTTGATAGCGTTATCCAGGATGCTTAGGTACGTTTTTGCGCTTAAGTAAAATGTTAGCTTTCAAGGGAATATTGCTTGCTTATAATAAGCGAAAAATAATAAAATTCAAAGCGGTTCAAAATCACTTAGTTAACGATAATACCACAGAAAAAAACCACAGGGAAAAAAAGGAGCATGCATGAACAGTTAGATAAGTTACTCTGTTAGGCTGATACTGTTTCAATTCTTACAATGTCATGGAACATTTGATGACAGAAGAGTTTTGCGCCATACATGATTTCAACTTTTTTGCGGCCAAAGAGAGAGAGAAAAAAAGACTTACTGAGAATCCATAGCTACATGAACTAGCTCAAGATCGTTTTGCGGACGATACTGTCATGGCAACAGTTGGAAGATGTTTTCCTCTGTGAATGTTTGGTAGAAAATGTAGCTCAAGAATGCATAGTTGAAACTGCTATATCTGAAGACACTCTTTGCTAACAATGGATCTCAGAAGTGTTATACGAGAGAACGTCTGAATCCATCAAGATGAATGAATTTAAAGTCCTCCATTGACTTCATATTTTTGTTCGTCCCAAGCAACGGATCCAAAAAAGCCTACCAAACGTAAAGCAACAGATGATTTCCAGGTTTCTTCCGATGGAAAGCTCATCATCCAAGATAACGAGGACGAGGAGGAACAACACGAGCCTGGATCCAAGCGTAAGAGAAAATCAGGTACATGTCCTTTGAGACGACTTCATGAATTATATTGTAGTTGTTGATGTGTAAGACTGCTCATTCAAACTGCCCTTCGTTAGCGTGTTATCCATCTGCGTATTTGTAACTGTGATTATGTTATCATTTTGGACAGGTCCGGAGGACCCCGTGGAGGATATGGAAGAGGTAAGCCGTGTTGTATTGCTGATACACTTGTGGGCTGAGCCTATGATAAGAAATGAGCAAAACATACACTGAAGTCGCACAATGCGCACTACGGGGTCAGTAGTATTGACGCAGCCGCCACCGCTGACCCACCCCTCCCCCCCGAAAATATGTAAATCAATACGAAGAAATAAAAAGTGAGCCACAAATGAGCCATGCCTCGCTGACGAGACCTAACAAGGCTGGGAAAGTAGTTCATGGCTGTAACCTCAGTAGCTCTTTTTTTCATTTCATTTTCAATAGGAGATATAGTTTTACTATTACTGACAGGCGTAGTTGTGCACATTTTGTGACTTAATGTACTATTTCGTTCAAGCGGCCACCTGCAAGAAAACCCACAAGTGGAAAGGGTAACTTGGCTAGAAAAAGAAGCAACCATCTATGTTCTTGATAGAATACATAACCATTTCCGTTCATGATAAAATAACAACCATTTATTCTATAATAAGAGTTTCTATCAACAAAAGGATTACTTTCTGTTAAATACCAGAAGTTGTGTAACAAATGATTCAATACACTGACTTTTTGTACGGGTGTTACAGAACTGCTTTAAAAGACGCACGAACCGATGTCTTATTATTATTGTTATTGATATTATTATCATTATTATTATTATTATTATTATTATTATTATTATCATTATTATTATTATTTTGCTATGAAGAGTTGTCACTAGTTAAAGATTAATTCATATAACATTTTTCCACATTTCTTCAAGGATCCATTCCCAGGGAAAAAGAAGCGGAAATCTTTTGGTGGTAGTAATGAAGATGATGCGCTCGTTGAAGGTTTGTTTTTTTTTCGTTGGCATCTGCTCTGTTGTTATGACGTAGAATTAACTACCTTAAGTTTATCTAACAGAGGTTCCTTCGAGACGTGAAAAGAGTGATAAGGCGTTTGGAGCTGAGTACAAAGCGAAGGTATGGGTTAGTTTTGTTAACTGTCTATCATTACCCTCCTGTCCTCCTTACTGATCCGACACGTACTGTCTTATTGACTAACTGAGGGACCGCCTGACCCTCCGATAGACCGAGTGATTTACTTGTTGACCAACTAATTGATCCATCGATTGATTGATTGATTGATTGATTAAGGGATTAATGTGATCAAAAGACTGACTGATCGATTGGCCGATGGTTTCATTAAATGATCAAGTCGTCGTCTTATTGATTGTGTTCTCGAATTTCTTCCTCAGTGTTAGGCTTAATGCTTCCTTTTGCGGTCTCTCACTTTTCGTAAAGTTAAATTCTTTTTTCACTCGTTGACAGATGTGTAGATAACTTAAAATGGAAAATTTGATACAATATTACTTTTCTTCCTAATGTTGATCTTTCGTTTCGATCGCCATTTTGAAGAACTGCATATAACTAGCAAATACCTGACACTTTGTCGACCGCTTGATTTTGTTTGAGCGCCTTTCTCGATTCTGTTATGCAGCTTTGTCAAAAGAGGGACTTTTGCGAGACCAAACGGTGGCTGCGACAGAGACTATTTTTCTTTGGTGCTATAACGAAACTGTTCGTGTACTGAACTATGTTACAAAGAAGCCAGGATTGAATCTCTACTGATACTTAAAAATTCTCTTCATTAACTCGATAGAAAGCGGGCGGTGATGTGAAGAAGAAAGGAAAACCAGATCCGTTCGCTTATGTGCCTCTCCAATTAAATATGCTCAACAAGAGGTAAGTGCTGACGTGCCTCAAAATTTTATATAATGATTGCAGCGGGGCTGAGGGATCTTGAAATTTCCCGGTTCCTCTCCTTCTTCGCCTCTCTATCGTGATCAAAAAAAAGCTATCGCAACTCACTTCCCACAAGTATTTTTTGCATGTCATACTTTTCGTGAGGAGGTCTCTTTCCTCTCAAGACGCGTCTCGTTCATCGCAAAATGAATCGTGTGTTCTACAAGTCGCGCTCCCCTTTTCGCAAATATGGTGTGTGCAACGCCTGTTAAATCAATGTACTTTCTAATCCGATAGTGTGTCACATCTTTTCAACAAAATAATTGTTCTCTTGCGTTTTTGCAAAGTTGTTGTCAAACACTAGGGACAAAGCACATTCACTGGCAAAGAAATAGGAAATGTTTTGAGGAATTATGAAGCATAGTGATAGGCGATTGCGGCGTTTCTCTTTTCGACTCTCTGCTTAACCTGGGATGCTTTATCACGATCTTTCTTGTCACTTTGAAAGTGACAGCCACTATGTCATCCCATGGCTCTTTACCGAAGGCTTTTGTCGTTAATATATCAATTGATTGATCTTTTTCACAGGAAGCAAAAGAAAATGACGGGCCAGTTTAAGGGCCTGGTACGAGCTACAAAACGCGGAGCAGCGAACGTCAAGCAAAAGAAAGGAAAAAGATGACATAAAATTCACGCAACGCCATGAGCCGTCAAATGCCTGTGGGGGTGGTGGGTGAATGGGTGAATCATCGAACGAGACACATTTGGGAAATATCCATTTTATGCTCTTTGCAGCTGAAGAACTATCCTAGAAATCTTCCCAAACTCCCCATTTATTTATGATTTTAACTCGTAAAGTTTTATGGGAAATGAACCTCTCATTTTTGCCGAGTGAAGCAAAATAGAAGCTTCCTCTACTTTGTGGTAAGGGTCGCGCTGTTTTATGAACAGGAATGGTAAGGTACTTACCTGTGAGAATTGTTTAATAAGCGCAATACGAAGGACACGACAAAAAAAGATGGTGATAGAAAACGGAGCTGAAAACTGATTCCTGCCCCCTTCACTATTTTAGTCGAGATTATTTGAAATATGTTCACTTTAGTTTGATTGAACTAATAAATCGAAAAACACTTTAGCTATCTACATTGTCGGTATTAAAAGAGTAACCTCGATAAACTATTTGACTAAATCACCAAATTTTGAACTACATTCCTTAAAACGGATACAATCACCTCTTTTGGCTAAGTACTAAAAATTGAAAAATTCAAAACCTAATCTGTATTATTTAGCCTAAATGCAGCCTTGAAATCTTGTGGATGCACAACTTTATTTGCTGACTAGTAACAAAGCTTTCCTTTACTCTGCGCAATCACTCCCTGATTGTTTCCAATATGAAGCCGTGTAAACGCAGGGCCGAGCTTGATATTTCAACTTTTATTTCCAAGAATTGACCAACTGAACTTTCAGCCTTTTTACGCATTTAGCATTTTCTTCATGGTGTATCCCTAAAAGGTGAACCATATATGTGTTAGTTTTGTTTTAAAACATGGTGACGGTGCGGAAACACTTAAACTCTCGAAGAGCGCTTCTTCGTCATTATGATTGATACAACCAACAAAATCGGAGTTAAACGTCTCACAGGCATACAGTAAAGATCAAGCTAACCCAATCGGTTCAAAATCGGCCTTTGTTTACCCTTTGACTGCCAAGAGTAACAAGCATATAATTAATCTCCACAATGTCACCCCTGAATCATGCATTGAGGTAACGAAAATATCAGGAAATGATTACTAACAAAAGAAGCTCTTGATTGTAAAACAAATTCTAAGGAAATGTGTGGAGAATATAGATCCTGATGTTTGGGTGTAAAGGGTTAAAACGAAGGGATAGAATCCCCAAAATGTTTGGGACTGGAACGCGAGAGGGTTGTCACCATGGATTTTAAATATACAGTAATTAGATGACTGAGCGATTTGACAAGTGACACTTACCGGAGCTGCGTAAATGAAGAACGCTATGAGAGAGACGAAAAGAAGGAATAACAGAAAACCGAGAATGTGCCACTTGTATCTGCCCCAGATAATATGGCGGAGAGCTTTGAGTGGTGACGTAAACCATGGAAACGAGGTCGGAGGGCGGCTGTGGAGGAATGAAACAAAAAGAATTTCGTTTTCAAAGGTGATCTGACGCAGTTCAGTTACGCAGTGTGAGTTTTCATAAATTGTTGTACCTAACAACAAGTTTGGAAGTACGGTACGTGTGACTCCTGTCACCACAATTTCCACGAAAAAAAAACTTTTCCCACGTTTGATTAATAACGGGTTGCAACCTACTTCGGTTCCTCTAATGGCGGATTCTTGTTTGGTTCGTCTCGCCCCAGTCCTGCCGGTTTAGCCTCTGCCTCTGCTCTTTTCATTATTTCCAAAGTCATCTCAAGTTTGCCCTGGAAAGTAAAGAAAATATTTAATTACGTTTCTTTCGGATCGTGCCTAAACGAACCAGCTCACGGCTTTTTCTTCGGGGCGGTGAAAATCTTTGACACGAGGTACAAAAAATCAAGCATCTAATGAGAGCAGGTGTTTCTTTTTGTTTTATCGTTCGGATCACAGCAAGACTTCATCAGAATTATAAATACAAACAAATGAACGATGCAAGTTCCCTCTCACTCAGTGGAATGACTACTAGGCCCATCTTACACTGAGGCATTACTCAGTTTATCTTGAGCAATTAATGTATTCAAGTTAGTAAACAGGTACAATGTACCGTGCTCTTCATCGATCCCGTCTTCATAGAGCTTGTAGCCCACCAGCCATAGCAACGTTTTTGCTTAAACAAGTCCAGTTTGGGTGATGGTTCCGAGTCTCCTGGTAGCTTACAAGAGCGAGCAGTAGTCGCCGGTTTGAGAAGAGATGTCAGGTCGAGCTGTAGAGAACCTGCAGTGTTGAAAAAACAACAAAACTGCTCCTTCAGTCCCATGAACCATATACGGCATGTTCCATGAGCCCTCTTACCGAATTTTGTTTATGATCAAAAATGTCTATTGCATTAGTGTAACCACATGGGGCGCAAAGCGTAACTGGGATTCGACACTAAAAGAATTGACAATGATTCAAAATCTTAACTGGCTTTCAATTGTACAACCTTTAACAAATACTTCAAAAGGGTCTCAAAACAAACGCAAGCCTAAAATATTGATGTTGTTATTATTATTATTATTATTATTATTATTATTATTATTATTGTTGTTGTTGTTGTTATAGTCACAATCATTATCATTATCATCATTATTTCATTATTATGAGTAAACCAAAGCAAATAAAAAGAAGAACGCTTCGTCGCTCGGCTGAACATATTTTTATGGTTTCTGCAGCTATACGTTTTTACAATTTTCTTCAGATAAAGAGTGCCCCACGGTGAAAGACTTCAGACCTACCCCATATATGGGGTTCAAATTATAACAGACGTGCTGTTTTGATAGGTTAAAATACCTTACTCTCCAATATCTTTTCCTGCTTAGCCTTCCAATTGACTGCCAAAAAACTGCTTTAGAAAGAGGGGCAGAGGTAATGATCCAAACAAGATTTACTAACCCAAAAAATCGTCATTTGCAAATCCTAAGTCATTGTCCCATATTTGGAGCATCAAGCGAGGTACAAGTTTCTCTACCGACTCGTCCAGACTCCAGAAATGCTCCTATGATGTTGAGATACGTTTTCATGTCATTTCCTAAGCCAAATGTGACGTTTAAGGTAACATTGATTCATATTCAGTATAGATCATTTCAGAAAGGACTACGTTTAGTTAGTGTTTCATGTATCAAACCAAAGATTGCATTTCAAAGTCGAGCCCCTCATCATAAATTTCGAAATCGCAAGATCCCCTTCCCAAATATCTTTCATAGCCTGCTTCATTGTAGATTCAACTAATTTCAGGTATGACTTAAAAAAGGAAGCTACGAACAATTCCACGGCTCTGATTAGTGCATCTTGATTACAGCCGTGGAGTTCCATCTAATCACAGCCTCGCGCAACGGAATATAGGTGGCTCGTACTCAATCGACCTCATCGCCTGAAGAAGACAAGCAGAATGTAGTCGAAACGTCGCGATCCATATCTGAAGTGACCGCATTGTGGGGAACGATTACAGAAATAACCTTTACCAAAGAGATAATAAATTTTACATTCTCTTGCCTTTTCCTTAATCACTAGTTTCTTTTCTGCTGGAATGTAAGAGAAAGGAAAAACAAATCTCCAGTTGAAGTTTCCTTCCCCGTCCATGGATCTGCGAAAAAAATTAGTGAGTTTTATCAAAATGATTTTGTCACTTTGTTTGGAAAGTCTGGGTAGACTTGCTCGAACATCACGCGCGCAAACGGGAGGCACCGGGAGTCTGATCAGGAACTTAATTTCACTCTCTGAGACTCTGTGTCACTTCTATTACTTCAGCTCTTTGTACATATTATTTTAAAATTATCGATAATCAATGTGGCTCTATCATTTCTAACCTGTAGTGGACGTCAGTTTCCTGTGAATCATCAATTCCATCAATCCAGCTAGTATCGGAACAAAAACTTGTTAATAATCACTCGTGGATATTTTTCATGATCAAGTCAACTCAAGTCTCCTTGTCTTGTCACTACTTTTTTGTTTTCTTGACTGAAGTGTTTTTGTTCTTTTGTATTTTTTTTGTACTCGTAAGTGTTATAAGTTCATAGGTACACCGATAAGGAGCTTAAACGCCTTTGTCTCATGGCAGTGAATATTAGCAACTGACCTTATGTGTTACATCTCTTTGCTTTACTTCTCCATGAAGCAGGAAATAAAAACTTTTTAGAAATCTAACGATAATTTTATCAATCGCTTCCTCTCTCTTACCCCTTCACGAAGATGTCGCTCATTTTCTCGCCAGTGATTGAGGTCTCCTCCAAAATAACGTCTTTGGTGTTCCATATGATGACACGAAGAACGTATCTGAAAATAGCCAATACTAGTGGTTAATGCCAATTACGCAAAATGCACTTCAAGTCCTTCGGGTGTCATGTGAGACCAAACCAAATATTTATTCCTGGTGGCTAATGAAGGCGAAAAAAAATGAAACGGGGAACCGATGAGAACTCAAAGTAAAAAGAATGTAAACGGCGTCCAATGTAGGAAAACGTGAGTGACCAAATCGCGATAGGTCTGACACAGTGTCAAAATGATAAGTCTTAATACGGTTTGCACATGTGTGGTTGTGAATTAAGATGGCACGATTTGCTTTGAACCAATTACACAGAATCTTGAAGCACCGTTGAAATTCAGAGCAGTCCATCAATTCGTTGCTTTTTGTAACATCATAATTTCTCTAATGTCCCATAAAATCAAGAAAAATTAATTCATTCTGCAAACAAATGGCTAGACCCCAACATTCAAGAGATATTATATTCATACCGGTCACGAAGCCTTGTCAATTTGTGTCTAAGAAATGAAAACTAGCGAGGAAAACGACGTGCAATCATCAGTTAAAACAAATCTGAATGCTCAGTTTCTTGTAACAAAAACCATGCAGATCTTACTCTTGAGGTTCTCTTGGGGTGATGTCAACCGCAACAGGTGCTTTGCTCTCTGCGGCTGGAAAAATATCAACCCATAACTGAAGTTTTCCCTGAAAAACAAAGAATAAACATCATAATTATGGAAAACAGATCAATAGCGCGAAAAATAATACGGTATAGAACCAGAGAAACAGAGAAATAAAGGGCCGAAAAACAAAGGAATAGTGTCGTAACTGTGAAAACAGATCAATAGCACGAAAAAGAATACAAGAAAGAACAAATAAATAGAGAAACAAAGGGCTGAAAAACAAATAAGTATCGTAACTGTGAAAACAGATCAATGGCACGAAAAAGAATACAAGAAAGAACAATTAAACAGAGAAATAAAAGGCCAAGAAACAAAAGATAAGTATCGTAACTGAAGAAAAAAGATTGATAGCACGAAAGAGAATACGGTAAAGAATTAGACATTAAGTAGTAAAGGGCCGAAAAATTGAAGATACGGCGAGGGTGAAACTTTCAGATAGTATGAATCCTAAATAGCAACAAGTACAACAATTGAAATGGGGTTGACTCCGTTGGGGACAAATAAGACTTCGGATATAA